GTGTGTGTGTGTGTGTGTGTGTGTGTGTGTGTGTGTGTGTGTGTGTGTGCGCGCGCGCGCGCGCGCGGGCGGGGATTACTCACCTTTCGGGTAATCCTCCAGGAGGAGGTTGAAGTGGCCGAGCTGGCAGAATAACTCCGGCTCCACTTTGCCCTCGGCCTTCAGGATGAGCGAATCGTAGCAGCGAACGGCCTGCGGGGAGAACACACACACACACGCACACACAAAAAGTGTCTCTCAACTGTGTGCGTGCACTATACATGTCTGTACTATGTTAAGAACAGAAACATGAGAAGGAAGGGGGCGGGACTAGTGAGAGAAAATCACTCAGAACTTTTGAAAGTCACAGCATGGCTAACGTCAGCTCCCTAATTCTGGCCGCGTGGACTCACATTATTTTCAGCAGATAAACATCAGCCTCAGACTAACTAACTGGAATGAGCTTTACTGCAGATAAGGACTTGTGCTTAAGGCATTTATTTCCCCCCAAAACCTCCATGAAAGATCTTTCTGCCCTGATAAATACAAAAAAAGTCACTGCTGCATCTTCACTCTAAGATCTTAAGTAAGATAAAGGGCCATTCCGATGTTTTAAAAGAGCAGCAACACCAACAGACACAGTTGAGTAGAGGAGCAGCTGTATTTCAGCCGACACTGGTCCCTTAAAAGGTATCCGTTAAAAGAGAACCAGTCGAGTTGCAGAAAGAAATAAAGCACATGTTGTCCAGGTCACCTCCAAAACAAACTTGAGAAGGAGCGACTCTGCTACTTAAGTTTCTCTGGAGCCACACTGAGATCACACCAAAGGTGGACTCGGCTGGTCAATGTGCTGCAAATCAAAGCCAAAGAGAGTCCTAATACCCAAAATGCATCTCTCTTGGCCGCCCTAACCCGGACGAAACACATACAAACACAGGAAGAACATGCAAACTTCACCGAAACCGCACCCGTCGTCCCAACGCGACCATTAAACTCAAACTCTTCTTGCTGCAGAAAGCGTAAAAAAAATAAATAATGGATGGACAGATATTCTCACGCGTAGAAAACGAAAATAAGAGCACAGTCGCATTCGAAGCTCATCTCCCGTCTAGTTATCTCAAGTTTACGTCGCTGCCACCTCGTTACTGGTGGCGAAACGGTGACCCAGTTCTGTCACAAACATTGAACACACAGTTATCTGCATGCAGATAAAGCAGCAGCGCAGCAACGGGGCCACAAGTGCCTAACAATCAAACTAACAATCTGCGAGCAGAAACCTTGTATGGAATCTTACCACACGCCTATATGGATGGCAAAGTAAAGCCCATCATTCTGTTTCTAAGACACCAATGGTGTCTTTGCCTATTGGGGGGGCAATCAGCAATTTCCATAAAGTGTCATTCTGTGCTCTGGATCATTTGATGGGTCGGTATCACAATCAAGACTCCTATCCCTGACACATGAAGCTGTGAGTCAGGTGGACAAGGCAAGTGCCAAGTATGGAGCACGATCTGTCTTTCTGCCACCAGAACCACCGCTGTCAACGGGCCACAAACGCGTCGAGCAAGGCACAGAATAACCCACATGTGCCGCAAAACATGCACAACATAGGGACTGTACAGTTCAAATCCAGCCTGATTGCATTGATTGTGTTGCACACTGTCAAAATCCTAGTTTCTGCTGCTTCTGCGCAGCTGGATGAGTAGTCACACTTCCTATGTATCCCACACCACATAGCGAGCAGATGCCCTCTCAAGATGACGAGCTGTCAACACCATCTTCTCCAACACCATCCACTTGTTCAAGATACATTCACAAGATAGGTGGAGAGGGTGTGTGCGTTTGCTCAGACTGAGTCTGTCTACAATGTAGCTTGGCAGCCCGAGAGCACATGCAGAGCCGAAACATGGTGGTGGTGGGGGGGGGCAATGAAAGGTGTAAACAAAGGACGCCTACACCACTTAGGTCAGCGAGGGGAACACGTCTCTACGAGGAGCAAAGACCCGAGAAGACAGTCAAGACACACGCGACCGATTCGGAGCCATATATTCAAATCAAACGCGTTATATAGCTATCGGTGTCACTCCGCCATGTCCCGCCATCTTGGACAGGCAGCCTGCCATTACAACGTTACTTGTTACTTGTCAACTCCGAACAGAAAGGGCCAGAATACGTTTGGTGGAGCAGTGCAATGTCAGGAAACCACCCAACATAGCGTGTCCAAGGCATATGCTAAGCTGTATTTGGTGCACCCTGAAGGAGGCTACAACGTCACTTCCACCAACAGTATAGCAGTTTGTAGTCAGATAAACCTACATACGAGTTATTAGCGGCGCTGTAATGTGTGCAACGAGATAACTTTTCTCATTTAACAGCAATGTTTCCATGTGCTGCACAAAAACCGTAACGACGTTCTGGTCGCTGGTGGTACAATTTGCAAAGTACACAAGGATATAACGCTGCAGGGGGATAACGTTAGCTATGCAAGCTAACGGCGAAGGGCGGTTGCCCAACAAACATTGACATATGTTAACGCTAACAAGCCAATTATGTCAAGAGAGTCGTGGATACTTGGCTAAGTGTGCCGCAGGTGCAGAGTCGCTGTGCGTCGGATGAGAGGAACTAACTAGCAGAGCTAGCTGAGTGGCTAACAGAGGGGCTGCGGCTAGCTGGCCTTGGTCTCCTTGTCTCCTTTGCGAGTGGGCCACTTTGCATTCAGTTACATTCGTTGAGGGCAAATGCATTGACTAGTTGTGAGGTTGTGGAGTAAATCCCGGGCATCAATTGTAAAAACACATCCAGTTTAGATTTGCTACCTTCATCAACAGGGCCTTCGTTCTGGCGCCATCTTCATGAAGCTTCTGAAATCCAAACAGTGAGCTGCAGAGCAAGAAGACAACATAGGCGGCTCAGAATCACTCGGAGAGCGGCTCGAGACACATTGTCGACATGCAAAAGGACAGAAAACAATTAATTTTCAACGTGTGCGTCTGAGTGAGTGCACGGGGCTACTATTCCGACCTGTCGATCGCGGCCAAAGTGTCCCTCTCCTGGGCTGTCAGTGTCGGAAAGTCCTCCTCGGTTTCACTCGCTTTTCCCGCCGCCATTTTCTTTCCCTCATCACCACTAGAAGAACAAGCCGAGCCGAGACTCCGAGCAGCAGCAGCGACGGCGAGAGACACACCGCACGATTGCATGGAAAAAAATCGCGGACGCGGAGGACAAAACGGGTTTGCTCCGCCGAAAATCAAAGACGAAAAACTGAGGAAAACAAAACGATCAAAAACTTTTTCCCAGGATGAAACGATGCGATTCGATATAGTAAATCCTTTCGGGGTTGGACAGAAGCGCTCTCCTCAAACGTCACATTTTTCATCACAAAGTGATATTGTTGCGCTATTCTGAAATACGAATAACTTGAGTACAGGAATCCAAGATGTGAGAATTTGACAGTAAAAATGCGTTTTCGGCCGCGAAGATAAAAGTTGTTATAATTGTGTCACCCAAGCGAACCCACGCGCCGCTCTAGCCACGCCCTCTCTCCCCTCTTCCGCCAATAGGAGCGTCCGCATCCCGCCATATGACTTCCCTGCTATATATCGTTCTTTAATCTTAAATAAATATTCTTTAATAACGTGATTATTCTGGAATTTTCTATTCACCATAAGTAATAAAATAAAATAAAAAAATATTATTTCAAATAAAAAAATAATTAAATTCCAAAAAATAAGAATTTTAACGTTCTTTAATCTTAAATATTCGTTTTCCCTCGTGCAAACCACTCGTCTTTAATACTATGATTATTCTGGAAACATTTTAAAATAATGTATTATCTGAACATGTGTCACCCATGTGCAATAAAGTGAAATCTTACTTTTCCTGAGAAATGTAATAATTTCCACTTGATAAAATATAATCTTCTATTCAGTAATATGCATTGACACTTGGTTGTTTGAAAGTTGCAGATTATTTTATTTTTTTAACAATAACGCTGCTAAATTGCACGAGCCTAATCGAGCGAGATCACAACGTTCTAACATGAAGTGGCAGAGCGTCATGGTGTGGGCGTGGTTTAGTATTGTCAACATCCTAGTGACATAACCAGTTTTTCCAAAATGGCGACGGCGGATCACAGAGAAGGTTGGTGATTTTGTTTGTTGTGCATACGGGCCTCATTACCCCAATAAACAGTTGAAATTATAATTGTTTTCCCTCCAGCAATAATGGAATTAGTATCCTTCTTGTAACAGTATATATAAATAGTAACCTATAACAGTCAGTGTGCAGGATATCGAATAGGTAGCAATTTGACGCTAGCCGGCTAATTATAGCTTCCCAAGTCATACATACAATAAACAAGCAGCTGAGCTCTTATTCTGAAGGGCGACACAAAGTATTGCGATTGATGACTTCATACGTTTTGTTGCTTGCAGGACAGGATGACCCGGAGAGTGAAGAGGAGGTCTACGAGGTCGTGGACCTGACAGAATATGCCCGGAGGCACCAGTGGTGGAGTCGGGTGTTTGGGAGCAACTCGGGCCCGATTGCTGAGAAGTACTCTGTGGCCACTCAGATCGCGATGGGAGGGGTGACTGGATGGTAAGCCATGTGGATGTGTCTGTAAAAGTACACACACCTGTCTGAATTAATTCAATAAGGCTTGAGGATCTATTATTGATTGATTGATATGTGTTCCTCTCAACCACATACAGGTGTGCTGGTTACCTCTTCCAGAGAGTTGGGAAGATCGCTGCCACCGCTGTTGGAGGAGGGTTCCTTCTTTTACAGGCAAGCGTACCAAAATAATGTTTTGAATCTTTTTGAATATGACTGACCATGCCAGCTGCACAGCATGACGCTCAGCTGGTCTCCTCTCTACAGCAGAAAGACCAGCATTGTGTGTTAGCTGGCTCGAGAGGAACGCGGGCCATCTGGACGCTGGACTCTGTGCTGCGATGCTGTCAGTGTGTTAATCAGGTTACCATTTTACAAGTAGATGATCATTTTGTTCCCCGCCCACAGATCGCCAATCACAGCGGCTACGTGCAGGTGGACTGGAAGAAGGTGGAGAAGGATGTGAACAAAGCAAAGAAGCACCTGAAGAAGAAGGCAAACAAAGCAGTCCCTGAAATAAACACATTCATTGAGGAGGTAAAGGTACCTGTAACCAAGCTTGCTCTTTTTTTCACCCTGTCTTTTAATTGACTGTCATTTACTTTTGTTGTATTAGAAAAAAAATCACCCGTAACATGTAATTATTGACAACTAAATGTTTGTTTTAGATGTCCTGGTTGTGGTGGGGGAGGTTTATTTCTTTATCTGCAAACCAGCAGTGCCCTCTAGTGTACAGCCGACCACACTGCACCCACTAGACACATTAACAATACATTTTAATACCCGTATGTATGTTTTATGATGTATCCATTCTAAGTATATATAAGATGGTCTTAAACATGTATTGCAGTAGATTAATTAAACTGGTTAATACAGTATGATGCTTCTAATCTCTTATGGACTCACTCTCTGCCCCCCCAGGCCACAGACTTTATAAAGAGGAACATCGTCTTGTCCAGCGGGTTCGTCGGCGGCTTCTTTCTGGGTCTGGCCTCCTAATGCCGCTGCACGCGCCGCAGCCTCCACTTACTGTGAATCACACCACTACATCGGTCACTTTCCTCCCCCGCTGTTTACCTCTCGGGGGGGGGGGGGGGGCGGCCCCCCATGTGTGCATCCGTTCACCTTTTTAACAACAAAATGAAAGCATGATCTGTTGTATTAACGGTATAACATTGTTCTACTCCCCCTGTTTCAAATCAGTCATAGCTAATGAGTTCCCTTTTGAAAGACTGACACATTCTGGAGTGTGTGTGTCTGGGTTGATCATGCTGTGACTTTGTTCCGTGGGACCCGTAACGGATCCTTGCCAGGCTGCTGAATATGTCACGCTGCCACAAACGAGCACAGAGTCCTCGTTGCTTTTGATCGGAGTTTGTCCGTCCGCTCGTGTTTCTGCCTGGTGGACGCTGATCTCCAATAGTTGGCATGCGTGGGCGCCATTGTAAATACGTAGCCAACCCCCCTTTTTCAGAGGTGTAAAGACCCACACACGGGTAAATATTATATAAACATGGAAGGCAGCAGAGTGGGAAGTTAACACCATCCCCCAGTCTAATAGCTGTGAAGTTGATGTGCCTATTGAAGCATGTAAGCAAACACAATTCAGTTTTTAAAGTTGGCTGGGGGGTTATTTTTCCACCCTGAGCAGGAGTTATTAATATATAATAACACATATGAGCATAAATCACAACTAAAGGTTACATCTGTGAATGTGCTCTCTCTCTCTTAATATTAAATACAGACCCTTTATTCCCATAATCCTCAGCTCCACGCTGCCTTTTTAATGACAGGAGCATCTGCTGCACCCTAATTACCACAATAGCAAGCCCGACACCAGTCCCGTCATTAAAGAGCATAATGGAGCAGCGGTCGGGACTAATACGCCCGTTGCTATTGTGCATTTAGAGATGCTGCAGAGTCGTGCGTGTTCACATCTAGGTAGGACAGCCACACATTAGAGTCCACTTAATTTGATCACGAGTTGCTGATGAGTTGTTTTTTTTGCCTTTTTCTACCAGTGCAATATACGGTGTTACATACAGATTTTATTTTTTTTTTTAAAGAGCTTGTGTTTCCAACTGCCATTTTGTATGCTCATACTCCCTCATTGTTTATTTGATGTTATTTTGTTATCGCAGCTGTATGAATTTGGTTGTGCGTGTATCTTTCAAAATAAAGATTTTGTTTTCATCTAGAAAAGGTGTTTTTTTGGGGGGGGGGTTATATATATATATATATGTATGTGTATATGTGTATGTATATATGTATATATATATATGTGTATGTATATATGTATATATATATATGTGTATGTATATATGTATATATATATATGTGTATGTATATATGTATATAT